GGTACTGATAGACACGCTGAAAATGTGAACTCCTAAACTCTTTGTCATCCATCAATTGAGCAGAAGCATCTACATGTGTAACGATACCAAAATTAATAATAATCTAAAGTCTCGTTATTACCTCCCCTTTCTCCTTCAAGCACATTACAGACTGATCTAGGAGACAAACACTGAACTGTAGGAAGAAGCTTAAGTAGTTCAACTGTTGGTTTAGCAAACTTAATATCATTCTATAAACAATATTAACACACAACGATGCCATCAATACTACACTCAAAAATATATACCTTTAATACAGAGACTTCAATGGCATATAAATGAGAAATGTAGGATCTCCAGATTTTCCCATGAGTGCCAGACACAGCTTGTAATATCAGTAATGAGAACAATATTGAATCAACCTGCCTCAACACCTATATGGATTAAATCACCAATAAAAAATGAATAAAAGTTATTAAAATTTTACTTATACTTACATTTGGTGAAATATCAAGATGAAATATAATAGCTTGATTAGTGTCTTTATTACCAACACTACTTTTTAGCAACTGAACAATACTGTCACTAGTAACTTTAGGACCATGAACTGGTATAATAACATCAGAAGAGACTCCATAGCACTTGCTCTTTAGTTCTTCCTTCATTCTTTGAATATACAGTGATTTACCCATTCCTGTTCTATCAGATGTCACCACACGTACACATGAACTAATAAAAGCCACAAAATAAAAATAATTATACTACACAACATCTATTACTTTTCTCTGTCAATAGTAGAAGCAAGTGCTCTTCTTCCTAAGATGTTAGGATTTTGCACAAAATGAGACTTCAAATATTGTTTGTAATCATCATCACAATGAAATGCCTCCAGTTGTTGCTTGAATAATTGAAGTTTCGATATCATATGAAACTTGTCAAGATCTTCATCACTACATACTATTACTAGCCTATAATCTAAACAGAAAAAATATATAACAAAAAATCATTAGAAAGTTATCAAAATTTTACCATTTTTAGCATAAGAACATTCGGTAAGTGATTTCAATGCTTTATCACAGACTTGATAAGAGAGTAGTTCAGCATGTACTAGACAGAATATTCTAAAGTGGTTAGGGTCTCCCATAGCTCTCTTCCACAATAGAGTCACTTCTTCCTCAGTTGTATTCTCATTACAAATAAGAACCTCTTCATATGTTGGCATGGGAAGGTCTTTACTCTCCATGTATAGCGAAAGGACAGTTTTAAAAACTTTATCTGATAAAAAATAATCATCATAATTTAATTTTTCAAATTTTGAGTACATATACAACCTGGAGGGGTTACCAGTAGATTAGGTTCACCATATTTCAGTCCTTCAGGAAATTTCCTCTGCAAGCCAACAGTAGCTGTAAAGATTACAAAATTAATAGTCTTGAGCAAGTATTGTAAACTTACGTTTATTACTTAGAGAAAGTTGTTGTAGAGTCGTACCCAGTGCCAGTATGGTGAGGTATTTTTCAGCTGAAGTTTTCTCACTACTTGTGATTACCAAGTCTCTACATAAAAAAATAAAAAATATATACATTTAAAAACAACAACAGAATGAATTCAACTTTTCAAGTATACTTACTGTAGTTCATCAGAGTCTGCACTGATTTGTCTATCATATTCTCCAATGCTATCATGTCTCTCAAAGACACTATCATAAGGTACTGGAGCAAACAGTTCACCTGATTCAGGTGGACCCTCCATTAGAGAAGCCATTGCTCTTTCTATATTGTCTGAATGTTGCTCAGCAGCAGCTAATGACTCTTCTACAGTAAAACCAGAATCAATCAGGCCTCTAACGACAGGGTGATCCTCACTGACGGGTACTTGATGAACTACTTTTAGC